AGTGGGGCTTTGCCCTTAAGGTGGTGCCAAAAGGAAGCTTCTAGGTTGCCCCAGTTGGGGGCTAGGGGGTTTGGAGGGGCGCAAGCTCAAAACGTGAAAATGTGGGCGGCGAGTTTAAAAATTCGCCGAAAATTGCCCTTTAAGGGTGGAGGAGCGGTTCTTATGGAGCTTACAGAGTGAGGCTTCCCCCTTAAGGTGGTGCCAAAAGGAACCCTCCAGGTCGCCCGAGTTGGGGGCTACGGGGGTTTGGAGGGGCGTAAGCTCAAAACGTGGAAATGTGGGCGGCGAGTCTAAAAATTCGCCAAAATTCGGCCTTTACGGCCCCGAGAAGGATCTTCCATCGGTTTATAGAGTAGGCGTTGCCCTTTGAAGTGGTACCACTGGGTGCTTTGTGGCGGCCCCCGTTTGCACGCCACTGAAGGTTGAATGTTCGCTTGCAGAAGAGGTGGAAAATGCATCGGCGCCTTGGAAAATTCCCCAAAAATCCCCCATAGGGAACCAAAGAACCAGTTCCCAAGGGTTCATAGCGGAGGCTTTGTGCTCTCGGGTGGTACCGTGGGGAACCCGGCGGTCGCCCCCGTTGGGGCTCCCCTGGAGGTTGAATGTTCACCGGCCGAAAAATCGCCGAAAAAGGCCGCAGAACCATCCTCTAAGGTTTCATTGGGATGTGAAAGTGGTACCAGAAGGACCCGATCAAAACGCATCGCGCAAAAATCGGCCGGCAATCATGCAATCGAGGTATTTATGGGGGGATTAGGCATCGGTGCCGAGTCCAGCGGCTGCGAAGCCCCCTTAAGCCTCTGGAGCCCCGTAAGCCGCGCCACAATGGCCCCTTAATCCCCGCAAAAGCGTGCAATTCTCTAATCAGCTCGGGCAGGCGTGACCGAATCGTGACCATAAAAAGCGTGAGCCTGCACGGTTCTGGTCATCAAATTGTTGGTTGAGTTTCTTTTGTGGGCGCATCCACCATACTGGCCAGAGGGGGGTGGTGGTTGAAAGGTCGGAACTGTTGACTAGTTGAGGCAGTTGTGTTTTGCCCCGCCAGGCGAGTTTTTGCATGGGGCGCATTCGCCATTTCGTCTGCCAGTGGGGCCCCGGGGCCCACAGTGGTAGACGAAGGACTCAGCCAATGCCAACTGCACACGCCACCAACAGGCCAATTAACACGCAAAGGCAAATAAGTGTTAATCAATTGTTTTTCCTATTCGCACAAGCAGCTTTGATTAGAAGCCCATAGTTTGTGCAGCGATTAGATCGTGGTGCAAAACAGCAAAACCGGTAGGTTCCAGGCGGCAGTCGATGGAACCGATCACGTGGAAGCAGGTGCTGCCCCAAGTGGTGGCCACGTTGCTCGGTAAGTAGTGGAGGGGGGCGTAGGCCCCAGAGGCGCCCAGCGACTGAAGGCGCCCCCTGCTTGTAGGCACCCAGATGGCCGTCTCCGACGGGATGACGTACGGCTGGACGTCCCCCATGATCCCCTACCTGCAGAGCAACGCCTCCCACATCCCCGACGTGAGCGCCGCCGCCACCGATTGGCTGGAGACGATCGTGCTGATGGGGGCGGTCACCGGCCTCCCGTTCACCATCCTGGGCGTGAACCGCCTGGGGCGGCGCAAGTGCATGATCCTGTCGGCGCTGATTGGCTGCGCCTGCTGGACGGCGCTGCTCGCCACCAGCAGCCTGGCGGCGGTGTTCGCCGCCCGCTTCTTCAGCGGCATGGCGGGCGACATGTGCTTCGTCGCCGCCCCCATGTACATTGCCGAGATCGCCGACCATCGCATCCGCGGCTTTCTGTCGGCCATGATCTACCTGATGATGCTGGTGGGGATGCTGCTGGTCTACACGGTGGGGGCGCTCGCCCCCTACGCGTGGGTGCCGATCATCGGGATCGGGCTGACCGCCTGCCAGGTGTGCCTGTTTCCGCTCATGCCCGAGTCGCCCTACTATCTGGTGTATGTGGGGCGGGACGAGGAGGCGCGCCGCAGTCTCAAGCGGCTGAGGGGCGGCGCCGCCCCCGTGGACGCCGAGATGCTGGAGATCCAGGAGGCGGTGCGCCGCCAGCGGCTGGAGACGGGGCGGCTGCAGGACCTGCTGCTGATCGACAGCAACCGCAAGGCGCTGCTGATCATGCTGATCCTCAACGGGATGCAGCACTTCGTCGGCATCAGTGTGATCTTCATGAACCTGCACGTGATCCTGAATGAGGCCGGCTCGGCCTACTTGCCCACATCGACCGCCGCCATCGTGTTCGCCGTCATCATGCTGGGCGCCGCCACGATCGCGTCGGCCGTCATTGACAAGTTTGGCAGGAAGGTGCTGCTCGAGCTCTCCAGCCTCCTCACCGGGCTCGTGCTCGTCGTCATCGCCATCTATTTCCACTTGAAGAACCTGCACTATGACGTGGTGGCGGTCAGCTGGATCCCGGCAGGGGGCGTGATGGTCTACGCGGCCACCTTCAAGATCGGCCTCGGATTGGTGCCGATCGTGGTGACGGCCGAGATCTTCCCCACCACCATCAAGGCGATCGGGATGACCATCGCCGACGTCATCTACGTGCTGGCGTCGATCATCTCGATTTTCGTCTACAGCGCCCTCTTTCGCACGTTTGGCATGCACGCGCCCTTCTACCTGTTCGCCGTCAGCAGCCTGTGCACCACTGGGTTTGTGCACTTTTTCGTGCCCGAAACCAAGGGGAAGACGCTGGACGAGATCCAGCTGATGCTGAAGGGCCACAAGCCCGCCGAAGTCGCCACGGTTAATAAATATTGATAAATTTGGGACGTTTTGCTGCTATTGGCAATGCCGCGCGGCGGCAACGCCGCCCACCACCCCCCTCTGCGCTAGCGCCAGCCGGCCCGAGATGGCGCCATGGGCTGCGCACGGAAAACCCCCCGATTATCCCTCTGTGAGTAGTGAGGGGGCCGTGCGGCCCCCCTGGGGCGCCAGCCACCCTCCCCAACTACTCGCAAAAAGCGCTCCCTGGGGGGCCGGCCCCCCNCCCCTGCCTGTCCAAAGCAGCCGGGCGGAGCCGCCGGCTTTACCTTCACGCTCCGCTCCAGTACTTCCATGGCCTCGCCCAGATGGCGCTGCCCAGCCCAAATTTCCGAATTACGCCTTAATTCGGGCAGCTTTGCGGGCTGGGGCCCCTTCAGGGACCCCCTAGGCGCCAGGCCTTGCCCCCCCACAACTATCGCCGGGGCACAGCCCCGGGGGCGCCAGCTTTGCCCGAAATAGCCGGGCGGAGCCGCCGGCTTTACTGCACGGTCCGCTCCCCACCCCCAATCGCTCGTCTTTTGTTTTGAGTCGAAGCGTCGTTTGTGTTGCCATATGCAGTTTTCCGCGTGTTTTCGGTGCTTTTTCCCCGGAAAATCATGGGTTTTTCCATTAAAGCAGTGTTTTTTGTTTATAGTTGTGGTGGCTGGACGCGTTGGTGAACGAAAGTCCGCGATCGATCGCCGGCAGGAGGAAATGGTGAAGCCGCGCCGCCTGCAGGCCCCCCGCCAGCCAGTTTGCAAGGTTAGAACATCAATGAAACTGTGGGGGCTTCGCCAGACTTTTGTGGACAGGTGCCCCTTTGGGGCCCCCGTGAGTGATTTGTTCGGTTGTCCTTGGTTTGCCCTAAAGAACATAAAGAACGCATGAACGAGTCGATCGGGGGCCCTAACGGGCGTCTTTTTCGTTCAAAGTTGATTAGTTCACTGCACATGTTGTAGTTTATGCGTTTTCCAGCGCTTTTTCTTAGTGACTTTTTTGGTGAAAACGCTATTTTCCACTGCTAAACTTCGCCAAATGTCCATGACGGAACGGCCAGGCGCCATGTTGACGCGTAGGGGCGTGCGCCGTAATGCATGTTGCCACGTTGACGTGGAAACAGCAATTCTCCTTATTGATGGGCCAGAGCCGATAGAGACCAGTCGGGAACGTAGCTTTTTGATATTAAGGGGCAAGTTTTGGTCGATTTTGCGGCTTTAGGGGCCCAATAACGGCAAGTTGCGAACACAGCCTTTTGGCCTCGGATTGTTTTCCGGGTGTATGCCGCCACAAGCGTAGGTTGCGGTTTATCGACCCGGATTCGCCGAAAAGCCCACCTGCTGCGTTCCAAATTGACATCGATTTGCGTCCGCGTTTCGAGTAACTGCGGCATTTTCCCTTGTTGTTTGCTTAAACGAGAAAATTTCTTCATGCAACGCCGGGTTTATCAGTTGAAAAATTCGCGCGCGCGTATGTTTATTTTTCGAACTGCGGCAACTGCAGACTACGAACGGCCAACAGCACCAACTGTAGAGTTTTTTTTAGAGAAATTTTCTCGTTTTAAACCCGAAAATAAAAACTTCCTGATAATCCACGCGTTTTATTTGTTGGCCCGCAGTCAATCCTGCAGCCTTAACCGCGCAATTTCCTGTTTGCCAACCGTACTGACTCGCTAATCCCGCGCTAAGGCGCAGCAAATCGCGCCGGATTACGCGCGGATTGGCAATGTTTGCGCCGCTGCTCGGTTGTTTCAATGACTTGTCACTATGGCGACGCAGCATGCGCTCGTTTCCCGTTTTCCG